AAAAGCCGTCTGGACGCCCGTTATCGCAAATTACGGATCATAAGCGGCGGCGATTCGTGACACAAATTCGGAAGCTTAATTTGTCTTCAACGGTCTATGGCTAAGCGCAACAACTTTAAACAATCCGAAACGGTTTAAAATGTAGAGACTACACAAACAATGCGGAACAGTTTCAAATGTAGAGACTGCACAAAACAGCTTTAGAGCTGTTACTTTTGTTTCAGACTTTAGTAAATGTTGAATTTTAAATTGTTTTTAAATGGAAGTAGGTAAAAGCTCTAAAGATAATACCTAAGTAATGGTACTTTTCAAGCTTGCCTAATTCAGGAAAAATATCATAATCATAATGGTATGATTATGATATTTTTCCTGAATTAGGCAAGCTTGAAAAGTAATGAAATTTTGGAAAAAGTAGGTACCTAGACTTGAATTGCTTTTTAAGGGCTAATCACGCACTAAACATGACGATTCAGTTTTTAATGACACGTATTAGTAAAAATGGTCCATAACTTGCTTTCTTCTTTCTTTCTCTCAATTGCCAAATGAAGTAACATTTTTATTTCACGATTATAGACACTATTACACTAATGAATAAGAAATAGATTTTCTCCTTCGTGCTTCATTAAAATTATGAGCAGATCAATTTGATATACAATACGATAAATAATTTCATTCCGATATTACGAACGAAAAGACAAATGAGGAAAGTACAGAGGCAGAAAAGATCGTTTCTTAATTGTTACTTTTTTACGAAGAAACATTAAAGTAATTTTAATTGGTCATTAGAGATAATTGTAATCACCTGCAAATAATAAATTGCATTCGAATGAGAAATGTTTTGTTTGCTTTCGTGTAATTTAGTAAAGACGTAAGTAATTGGAATTGAACGATGAAGACGTCCGTCTATGTTCTTATGAAGAAAACTCTACATAAAATAAGAGAGGGTCCGTCATATTCCTCGACCTGCACTGGAGAAGTGGAGACTGACATGACATAAATTGCCCTAGTGATAATAATGTCCAAGGTTGTAAGTACCACCCACATCATTGTCTATTCGTTCACAAGAAACCAATTGTATACAGGGTGTTTGGTAAATGGGTATATGAGCCGACACTAGCCCATGTTAACATGGGCATATTAATGGTATGGTGAAGTCAGAAATTTTATATCATCATTTTATTTTTTTTAATTTTCATACAAAATAAATTTTATAAAATCCGATTTGTATGAAAATTAGAATAATTAAAATGAAGATATCAATTTTCTGACTTCACCATACCATTTATATGCCCATGTTAACATGGGCTAGTGTCGGCTCATGTACCCATTTACCAAACACCCTGTATTTGGAAAGTAATAGCTTGGAATATAAACCCATAGCGTGCTTATTGAAGGGGCTGAACAACCTAGCTGAGAAACCAATAAACTTTTATAGAAATGTAAGGTTCGGTGTGCAGTAAGTCCAGAGACATGGGTGGATAAGTATTTTAAGTAGTTCTAAAGCTAAAGTTTTAGCTTAAGTTCTAGCTTCTAGAGTTTTGCCTAGCTCAAACTGCATAGAATCTAATATTAGCGCATATTGCCACATGTTCTAAGTCTTGAGTAGGAAATGTAGGCGCGGTGCGGTCAGTGAAGCCAAAAGGCATCGTCCTAAAACTGTTACATTCCTGGCGGGTCGCGGCGTGCCGCATGAGTCAACGGGGCGGCGGCCGCGCGGCTGCGCCAGCCAGGTCGCTGCGTTTCCATTGTGCAACGAGAATTCTTTACTTAAGGTTCAGCCAAAGTGCCAAACCAACGCGTGTAGCCTGCGTGCGCGTTGGCGACCTTACCGATTTCTACTGATCGCCCATTGCCGTCGCGTACACCTATAGGCTACACGCGTTGGTTTGGCCGAACATTCCCACCAAAGGCAAAGTGGTAATGGTAGAGCAAGCTATTCGGGACGTGTATAAGCGCCATGAAAAAGGCCTCTAAGTACGGAAAGTTTTTAAGGCCATAAGTATACACTTTTATTGACCAATAGTTTGAAAGGTTCTTAACGACCGGTACCAAATTCGATGTATAGCCTGACCAGGAACATAAAAACCCTGGCATAGAGGCGCTTCAATTGCATTTGATAGTGCAACACTGGGTACAGTCGTACTTGTATTAAATTAATAGGCTAACTTTATGTATCAGGATTCAGGATTATAGGCTAATTTAATATTTTCATAAATTAACAAAAACATATATTATAGGTAAACTGGTTTAAATAAATTAAATGAAACCATCAATCGAGCAAGTAGGATTTTATTATTATTCATCAATAATCAAATTCTGAACTTGAATATTCAACTACAATGTCTGCTCATGAACGCTTCAAACTCGGTACTTCTTTCCCAATTCCATAAAATTCAATACTTACAAAGTGACAAAAAACTTTAAAATAGGTAGTTGAAACAAACCACAGCTAATTTTCATAGTTGACTGTACTATACGATAAACATGTCAGTCAATTTGACAACCTTTGTCGGAAACATTATTCAATGAAAATATTGTCCGAACCCATAGTATTTCTCTTCGACAAATACTTTAACACATTGTGAACCACTTTTCTTTCACGACTATAAAAAGATTTTAGCAATTCAATTCACAAAATCAATTGCGCACATTTTTTTATTTTTTTTATTTTTTATTTGTGGCAACCAAACCTCTCTGGGAGGTTTATTTCTGCCAATGTCGAGTGAAAAATATTGACATAGTTATCAATAGAACGTGGGTGTTTCAGTTCTATTGATTTTTCATGGATTCCGTGGAGTTAAGTATGCCCGTAAGCAGGTTTCGAGACGCCACCGGGTCCAAAGCGGGTTGTTCATACGACAACCCACTCGACACTCGATGCGCGCTCAAATTCGAAGTATTTCAATGTTTTTTATAATTTATCACTTCACTGCACTTTAGAACACAAAATAACACCAAATTTGTACACTAAAGTCCATTAAATAATAAATTGAAACCATTAAAACAGATCGACCATGCTTCCCGTTCAACTACCCTCCACGGAATCCTTGCGCACATTTAAAATAAAGTTTGTTTACACTTTGACAGCAATAGACTGACATGCAAGGTGACATGTCAATGAAGTTTTTAGTTACTGTTGCCATTAAAAGAAATTAGTACCATTAATTTTCCGCAACATGGCGAGGGTTTTTATGTTCCTGGTCAGGCTATAATGTGCTTACTTTCATGCTGAAACAGTCCGATTAAACTATCGGTCGAGAAGTTTTCGGTCTGCGGGGACTCTTGCATTGCATTAGAGTTGAAATTATTGTCATCATTGCAGGAGGAAGATCTTCTTCAATTTACTTTTGAGAGGATTTGACCTACAATCCTCTTGCTGACTAGATGGGTTGTGTAGAGCACATTATGACTTATGAACATACGACGAACGCGTGCGAAAACATGAAATGTATTGTCGATGATACTGAATAAACATTTTTTCTTTCTTTCTTTCAAAACAAGCGAGCAAAGAAATAATTAAAGTATTGTGTAATGGAAACGGGTAATCGTTTTTGTTGTGAATGAAACCGTGTCACAGAAGTAAACGCGTGGGATTTATAAAAAGTAAATCAGAAATATAAATTAAACTTCATTATTTGGAACAGTATGATGTGCAATATGGATTATGAAGGTAAGTAAAGGCAAAGCAGCCGGCTCAATTTTTTTCTCGTAAGTAACTCGTAGTTTGTGATGGGACTCAAGTCATTAGTTATTATAAACCGACTTTATTTAGAATAGATTTCTTTTTCTTAATAAAATACGTAATTTATGAAAACGCCTGATATGTAACGACGCTATTTTTAATCAGAGATGTACAATTGCATTGATAAATATGGTAGGTACGCCTGTATTCACAAAATAAGTGAAGCAGCAACTCGAACGCACAGCGCAGTGTCGAATAGAGCTCTGCAATGTGATTGGTTCGTGTGTCACCCTGTGCGTCCACGCGCACTGTGACACCTCATAGTAATGTTTGTGAATACAGGTGTTACATTGACATTCTTTATCTTTATGGCATACCACGCAAAACCGCCTAATAGAATAAAATATACAAATTATAAAATTTAGGCGGTCTTATTTCTATGAAGTGATCTCGTCCAGATTTTAGAGAGAGAACGGTTCTTTGGACAGATAAGTCACTATAACAGAATGTGCAATCCTCTAAACCAGGGTTTCCCAAACTACGGGCCGCGATCCAGTGGTGGGCGAGCGAACATTGAGTGGGCCCTACCTGTAGAACGACACACCACCCTACTGATCCAACCACTGGGCAGCAGGCGAAATTTCCTATAGGTGGGTCCCGAGTTTGGCAACTTGTATTAGATGAGTCCTAGCCCAGACAACTTTGGGAACCGCTGCTCTAAACACTAGACTGCATTAATAGTCACTCGATCTTTGGGTGTTAATTGAAAAGAAAATGCAAATTCACAATAAAATAAATGTATTTTAAGTCTTTTTTGTTACTACATAAATGTAAATATTTGTCTCATACAAGACTGAATATATTTACCTAAGACTAATATAATAAGAACTAAAATGAATTAGGTAATTACATATTACACTAATCAGCAGCCAATAAAGACAGATTGATTGCATATTACTCTTTGAGCAAAATGACTTAGGTTTTAACATTAAAATAAACTCTAAATTAACATAATATTGAATTATAATGATAAAATGCAGTAAATGTGTCATGTAGGTATGTACAAAATTTAGAATTTAAAATCAAATTTAAATTAAGGCTTACAATTAAATTTCTTCTCAAACTTATTTGATTGAAATCACTAATAACCTGTTGTAAGTACATATTTTTTCATTAATTATATTATTTGTTAGTTTGTTCTCTACATACATACTTATAGCTGTGCCTTAAAAATAATAAATTACTTATCTGAAGTAATCAAAGTAAATATTTCTTATATCTTAAAAGTGGCACATATTTCAGAATTTTGTTATATTACTTTTAGGTCTTAATCTCTCTTCTAATATAATTTAAGTCCAATCAAAATAACATAAAGAGGTTTAAGTTTTTTTCAGAGGTTCTAGATTTACAACATAAGGTAATCCCTCTCCATCTCCACTTTCAACAATAGTTATCTTGAATTGATAGCCAGGAAACAAAAATTTGCTCAGTCCATTGTCCCAAGCTTGACTTTTTTCTGCCTTACAATACATCGCCAGCACAGGACGGAGGAAAAACGTCTCGTTTGTCATGGGTTTCAGTCTCATGAACGGAACAGTTACCGTTTTGCCCCAATCAACCAGTAGTACTGTCACTTTTTCTTCTTGTTTGTTGACTTCCTTAATATGCCCACGCTCATATTTCCCATTGGCCATCGTTAGCACTGCCACGGCCATATCCTCTTTCACATCATCAGGCTCCAAATCCTTTTGAATTTTACAGAAATATGTAAAGTTTTCTCTATCATTAAAATAAACCGTGTAATCCTTTACTTCTGCTACATAAAAACCCTCCAGAGAATCACCTGCTTGGACTCTCACAGTCAATGTACTGCCACAATCATACTCCTTATAGGTGTAATAATGCTTTTCAGGTTCTGTTTGCGAGAATCTACTGATCATATTATCACTATAACCGAGGGTAGTATCACCACTGAGTGCTAACATTGTAGCAATGTCTTCAGGACACGAGTTAACAAGTTCCACAATGAGAGCGTCGGGAGTTTTGCCTCTAATTAACATTCTAGCTCGCTCTTTTCCTACAAAGAACTTCATGCTTTCTATAGCCCTCATGCTCCAAGTCTCATCAAAGGGCTTGCAATCTGCCAACTGGCAATGTAAAGCCAGGGGTGGAACGTCGATAGTATCAATACACGGTTGACGAGTCTTATTCCAGGGTATTTGCTTTTCGAAACAACCGAAGTCTAGGGCATAAAAGTCACACGTTGTAACATCATTCTCAGTTTTCACGAACATGATACGACCTCGTACGTAACATTGCAACACTTTCGACTTGTAAATTACGATTGAACCCACAATCATTTCGTCTGGAAGTGTATTTTCTATAAAGTCATTTATTTTAGGCAAATATCTACGGCAAAAAGTTGGTCGAACGTAAAAACTGTGAGGATTGTTGATATGAGTAACGTCAACCCAATGTGCACTACCAATCTCGTAGGTGTTTATCGATATCCATTTCATAAGTTTTTGAATCGTTTCCACGCTGGAGTCCATTTTTAAATTCTAAAAGAATTATTTACACACTTGAATACCTTTTTTGTTGATTTTGTTTCGAGATTGATTGATTTGATTGTGTGATGATTGATTGACAAAGACAATTTGACGCCACATTTGACAGTTGACACTTTTTTTTTATAGAATGACAGTAATGTTCCGTTTCAAGTCAAAATCGTTACTTGCAGTTCACAAATTAGTTTAGTCACAAACAGAGCCCCGATTACGGTAATTTTTAACGTCTCCAATCCAGACGCGCTTCATCGATTCTGCGATACGATTGCAACGTAATAAAAAGTGTCAACAAGATGCACAAATACCTAAGACCTTAATCTATTGTGTAAAATCTTGTTCAAAAGTTAGTTTGTGATTCATTGTGCTTGTCAACAAAACTGTCGGTCGTCTAATAAGTTTGCAATTTTTATTTCGCAAAATATTATTACACGTGAGTGTTTACACTTCTTGACACGTAACTATGCCGGTTAAGCAATAAAATTAAATAGCTCACTGGCCTAAAAAGGCTTGTACCCAAAGCCGTGCCAAAGCTGTACAATAAATAAAAAAAAAATAGTTGAGCTAGTGATGTAACTTAGCAAGAAAAACCGTAAAACAAAACCGAAAACAAATTGGATGGAATTTGAAAATTTGTACCTACTTTAAGCGGTCTATGTTTGATTTTGAATTGATAAGTTAAAAATTAAACAAAACGAACGAAGTCACTGTCCACAAAAGGTGAGTAATAAACTTTTATGAGTTAAAATATTAAGTAGTATCAAACTGGTGTGCTTTTAGCTATGGCTTTTATTCCAACATAAATGGGGAAGTTTAGTACATACCGATCTTCTTCTTCAGCAGATTCTTTACTGGTGGAAGGGTATTTAGATTTACTTTTAGTCTCCATCGTCATATTCCAATCCTTTATCACATTATCATGTTTCAATCATAGCATTGAATGAATTAAGTACATGAAGTCAGATAACTGCCATTATTCTAAGCGGTTAATTTAATACTTAAATAATTTTACACAGTAAAAACGCAGATAGTATGAAACCATTTATAGGTTAATCATTGAAAATAGAAAATATTTGAGAGACTGACGTTTGCAGTCTTTGACAGATCAACTTTGACATTGTCAGCTGTGTGTGACCATGAAGCTAAAGATAAAATGGAGGCCACACTTCGAATACTTACTTGAAGCACAACCTATGTATCACTATCTCGCTCTCTGTGGGCAGACTCTCTCTTTCTAAATAAACAACAATTATAAATTGGATCAAAGTCAATGAAACTCAATGTAAAATCTTTATTTCTTGACATAGGTATCATTAAATAATAAGTGTAAATACTGGCAAAACGTTTTATGAAGAAATTACTGTGAAAATATAGGTGTACCAGAATCTCATGGCAAACAAAAATATTGGAAAAGTGTGTTTTTCATATGGCAATTGTCTATGGTTTAATTGTCACCTGTCAAAGAAAATTATGAAATCTGTCAGCCGCTGCAAAAATTTTGTAATCTCTTCTTGACTATTTGTTGTTTTTGTGAAAAAGTCGAAAAAGCTCAAGCAAGTCATATTGTTTTCAATGTGAATTGTAAAATAAGGCTTAATTCAAAGTCAATCTTTGATTCTAAAGCGCGTCGTCGAGTTGACAGTAAGTTGGACTGAAATGTTTTGACACTTAGTTTATTACCCAACTACGTCACAAGGAGGGTTATGTTTTTTATATTATTCTTAATAGCATAGCTGGGCATTAACTCGTTAATCCGTTAATCGTTAATTAACGAAGTTAACATTTCTATTAACGGATTAACTTTTAAGTTAACTTTAAAAAATGTTAACGGACTCGTTAACTTCCGTTAAATTATTCTAAGTCCGTTAATCGTTAATCCAGTACCTACTATTTACCAAAAAGATACAGCAGGCACGCTGAAAAACGCTAGAAAAATGCGATCTGACAAGTACGTTTGGGCTTCCAGAACTTCCAGAAGCCAAAACAACAGTTTTTGTAACCAGATCACTAACGACACTTGTTAGTATGTGTAGGACAACTCTTGCAACTGAATTTAAAACCAGTTTTCCTGACCCGATTGAGCTGTTTGGTATACTTATGTAAGTACGATGACAATGCAATGTTATGGTACCATTGAGCTGGTCTGATGATGGAGTCATGAGGTGGCCATAGGAACTCCGAAATAAAACGGCGGCATCGCATCGAATTTGGGTTCGTTGGATTTGTCTTTTCGAGCACCTTAGTATTAGACGATGTCCAGGGTAAGGAGGTGGCCATAGGAATTCCTAAACGAAACGGTGGAAACTTATCGAGTTTGGGTTTGCTGGATTTGTCTTTTCGAGCACTTTGGTGCTAAATTGTATTGTAATTGAACCAAGGCTTTGAGATTGAGATACTACTAAAATGTGTAAAATAAAATTATAATATTTTTTTTTTAATCAAAAAACTTTTTTAAAAACAAGCTTTTATTCTGAAATGCAGTTGTACTAAAACGAAAAAAATAATTGTACTTATGCAAGGTTCAAATAATTTCGAAAGCTTGTAGCGCAAACATAAAAGAGGAATAAATTCCATGCGCGATACAAGCTTTCGAAATTATTTGAACCTTGCATACAATTATTTTTTTCGTTTTATTATCATGTGTTAACGGATTAGCGATTAACGTTAACTTCCGTTAAATCTTGCGAAATGTAACGTTTTAACGTTTAACGAAGTTAATTTTTTTATTAACGGTTTAACGATTAACGAAGTTAACTATTTGATTAACGGTGCCCAGCTATGCTTAATAGCTGCTTTATCGGGGTTTTCAGGTATATCTCACAAATTGGTGCCGAGGAATGGTCAGAATGTTATGACCATGTAAAGAAAATTGAAAAAGATTTTATCTCTTTATCTTGATCATCTATTGAAGAACAAGAAATTGCAAGTGGAGTTCTTAGAATCGTTTTCTACACTCTGATTTTTAATTCGACGGAATTTTGACATTTCAGAAGTGTTGTCAACATTGAAACATTCCCACTAAGAATGGAGAGCATTTTCACAAATTAAAAAATAATCCTTTCTTGAATTTAAGGTTTCCCTTGAAAAACAAAGGCTTAAAAATGTACTGATAATTTCAAAATGGTTATTTGAATTTTTATTATCATATTTTTAAGGTTACAAAAAAAATTGGGAAATTATTTTTCTCTTACTGGACTCCCTGTCCCTGGCCAATAATCCATGGGTTACAAACCTTTTTCATGAAAATCCTTTTGTTAATAAAATCTTAGCTTCATAAAATAATCAATTAACAAGATGCCAATTTTATAATCCAAGTTGATTATGATGACGATAATGATGATTGATGATCAATACATATACAGGGTGTCCCGTAATGCAACGTCAAGCCGGAACTGGGTGTTGAGGCAAGTTGTGCTGGTTATCAGAAAAATAAAAAAATAATTCTATGTGGCATATATTCAAAATAATAGGCATTTTAAAAAAAACAAAAAATTCTACTCCCGGTGACGGTCTTTTTACTCGTGTTGCCACAAATCTTCACTTTTTCCAAATTTTTTTTTTTGTTATGTAACCCTGAATAATGCTTCTCTAAATTGTTATCAAAATTACAAAACCAGCTGCTCCAGCTTGGATGAAAAAAATACATTATTCCCAAAAAAAAATTTTGCCTAGTTTAAACTGACTGTACTGAAAAAAAATTGTACTACGCGAGTGTGACAAGTGACGTCATAATTTGGCGCATTTAGTAAGGATTAATAACACTTGGTAAATTCTTGCTGTGATTGTCGACAATTTTTGTTTTTTGGAAATAATCCCGTTTTTAACTTTATCAATAGGTGTACTATACAAAGAAATATGTTTACAATGATCCAATGTCGGAAATCACGAAATAAACACTTACGCGTGGAATCTTAAGTCACTTCCGGGACACCACGTACTACCGCAACCACGCACTACAAAATTTTGCAGCATTTCTTGTGATAAAACAATGATTAGGTCCATCTCAAACGAAATTAACTGCATAGTAAACAAAATAGTAAACAACCGCCATCACCATGATGGGCCGGATTGGGCCGATGTTGCCACATGGTACCGATTTCCCAGAAATTGGGATTGTAATTCCCTGATTCGCCAACACATTTAGCCTAGACGGCCGACAATTTTGTGATTTATAATTTAACTGGGTAATCGTAGGTCAAATATTTAATTATTTATTTGTTTAACTTCTGATTTGGTTAGTGAATTGGCTATTTCGAAGAATTTACTAGGAGATTTAAATAAGGAGATAGCAATACTACAGTCCACACTAAAAAGAGAGGTCGGCCCACAGAGAGCGAGATAGAGATAAGTAGGTATTTGACTCAAGTTTTTGTTCCAAGTGTGGCCTCCATTTTTATCTTTAGCTTCATGTGTATGACACAGTGTGTGTGATGTGCAGCAGTCCGATTCTGTCTTCAAGCGTTTTTGTTCCGAGTTACCTACTAAAATTGGTCACAAAAATAAATGGCTGCGTGTGGTTTATTGATCAGGGACGAATAATTAGCTGACCTGTATCTGCGATTTCTATAGCCACGATTTACCTACCAAAGTATTAAGTATGTAGGTGAATAGGTAGGTCTACATGTTCCTTGTGAGTTTTCTGGGTATTTGGCAGTGTCTTATTAGATTCCTATTTTAACTTACCTAAATGTGTTTAGTCTATCTGCTACTTTTGTGAGCAGCGTTTTCCTTAGGGGCCCTGGTGACCCGCCGGGTGAGTTCTCCTTCGTCTCCGCTGCCAAAGCTCGGGCCACCATTAAATCCTGTTCGTTCATTCTGTAACAAAGAAATTCTGATTAATACGTGATGTCTATACCTACATCATCATCATCATCGGGTCATTTTAGTCTTCACTGCAGAAGGACTATGTGCCCTCTATACAGGCTGGAAACGTTAAGTGATCTCACTCGATTATTTCTAAACTATACAAGATATTGAAAAACTGGTTACTGATCCTGAAAGTGCTTCAAGAGCTCTTTCAAACGGTACCAATAATAGGTTACAGAATAAACTGGATCTATCTGAAAATTCAATGTTTCCAGCTTCCATACTAAATGTATGCCAGACACAATATTAGAAGTGTATTTTTTTTTATTTAATAATAAACTCTTAAATTGTATTCTTATTTTAAATTATTCATGGAAA